GGTCATCGATTTAGCCTGTTGTAGCTTCAGTCGAGGATTGCAATTTTTCCGCTGACAGGCTGATTCCATCTCCGAGGTTGGGTTGTAACAGAACACCATCGCCGGCCTGAGCGCACGTCGTGAAATCGACACTTGAGTAGAATAGCTTCCACCTGCAGAGCTTCTGCATTCCAGAGCCTTGGTGCTTCGTTGACGACAGTCCAAAATTGGCGAGTTGTTACTTTATGGTCTCATCAACAGCTAACTCTTGCTCTTTCCCTCTGACTGAGGATATACTCCAATTTCTGTAAGCTCCCACTTACGAGGTATTTCTCATGGAGCGTTTCCTGACGTGCTATAATGACATCGCCTTGTCTACCTCTTCCGTTCGGAACGGGTAGCGACTACACTGTTGATGATAAATTTGCCGTCGCTTGGTCGATCTTTGCCAGGCGTTGTGGTGGTGTTACCCGCCGGTTGCTAGAAAGTGATGAGCAGGTTTAGATCGATGACCCTCTGCAGCCTACTTCAGTCCTCAAAGATACCTGGCGACGGCCGAGCTCATGTGAATATCGGTAAGAGCCACACAGTGTGAGGCAGGTGGTTAAGTACAACTGAGACTTCGCCACGGTTTTCTAGCCCTTCTGCTTTTTCTTCAGGCCTTGGGACCAGCAACGGCGTGTTACACTGAAATGTAACAGTGTAGAAGTTGCCTCGAAGTATTGCTTGATTCGTCTCTTTTACAAAACAGTTTCCTGACAGGGCATATAAAATGATACTTTGGAACTTCTTATCTACGGCAATATTCATAGTGATAACGAAATCAAAGAACATATTTGAAAGTTCATAAGACTCAACTCAACAGTTTTTTTGGTAACAATGTCTTCACCCAGCTATGCTTACTCCGTGTATCCCTGCATAAACAATGACAGTGTCGTTTGAGAGGCACCAATGGCAAAGATATGGGGAGGTTTAACCAATTCATGAGTGACGACATGCTACGAGCCGCCACGGTATAATTGAAACCTGTCATAAACTATGAAAATGGGTGTCAGCACGATTGTGACAATCTGCGTTGTCAGAATTTTTAAGTAGTTTCGTCCAGATAAAAGCAAAAAGCATGGGAAAAACTTAGCCAAAAACGAAATAGGCCATTAAAGTCATTAATTTTCGAATGAAGCATAAATCTTTCAATATTTTTCCACCGTTTCAGTGTAAAAACACCACCCACTAACTTGAATAATTTAAGATTAGAAGAGTTACTAATCAATGACGAATATACCACATTTGAAAATGCGTGGATATTTGGAACGTGAATATTTCAAAGAAATTTTTATATTCATGTGAGCTTCTCCTTGAATGTAGTATTGCATTTGCTGTTATTCTTGCTTTAGACAGCTATCCGCTTACATTGTAACGAACGCGATTGCCTACCTCGACCACACAGATTTTCTTGGAGCAATCCAAAACAGGAAGCATGGGCAGCAGTTGGTTTCCAGACAAAAAAATGTCAATTGTTTTCACTTTAATTTAAATCACTTTTGCAACGTACTTTAGGTCATGCGATATCTTGTGCTTTGTTTACATACTTGATGACCTTAGAAAAATTATTGCATGATTCACAGTTTGGTTTCTGCTATAAATGAACATTATTAAATGAGAAACGACAGTTCTTAGTTTTCGAAGAACTGTCACACTTAAGAGTCTGCTATTATGGTGATATCGCGCTTAATGGTTTTTAAACATCCAAATGTATACATGTATGTATCGATTGGTCCTCTATGAGACGAGGCATGCATGACTGGGGGTATGTATACATGTATGGGCATATCTCCTTTCAAATATGGCATATCAGCGTTGAAGTGTGCTCTTACCCAGCCATCTTCATTGTTCAGGCCATGTCACAGAAATCTGTAGGACGGCGAAAGGTCACAACCACACCGATCATGGATAATTCGATTGTATTGAGCACAGAACATCTGCGCACATTACACTGAGCTTTCTCATCGGCACAAAATCTGAGAAGCCTGCTGAATTTCATGCAGTGATAATCTGAACATAACGTAGGCTGCTAAAACAAAAATGGGCTGATGAATGAAGTCCTTTTTAAAAGATTAACACCGAATTTTGGCTGAACATGATTAATGTTGGATGCATAATTTGCAGAAGTTAGGCAATTAGTGGAATACGAAATTGTACAACAGGTCGAAGCACAGTTAAGCTTATGCTTATTAACTACGTTATTAGCGGCGACGGTCTACTTAAGCCCAACAGCGCTCAATAAATCATTAAAACTGATCTGGCGGTAAGAACGTTCCGAGCCTTCAGCACAGACTTGCCAAAGTCGATGTCGGTCTGTTTACAAGGCGACGGAAGTCCCTAGAATCAGAGCTACAAATCGTATGCAGTGTAGTTCAGCCAAATGATGAAAATTTACCCAAATGGCTGTGCAGAAATTGCCATGTTGATCTACAACAGAAGCCTAAACCAGCATTCTTAAACGGATCAAACCATTTATTCAAGTGTTCTTAATTTTAAAATATTCAGAAGAGAAAAGTTCATTCGTTTGTAAGTAATAGCATTTTGGACAATCGTTAAAGCTTTGCCATCCAATATCGAATGTTTTATTGTTAGGAAGGAGGTGATGCAATAATCTGTTAAATCTGGTCTTAGAGGAGCTAGAACATATCTGACATACTCAACATACCAACATACTTTGATGTTAACACGGAAGGATATAATAAGTACCGGCATGTGAAGCACCGTACATGATGAGTGTGAGATGGATCTGGCGGACGAAATGAGGTAAGATGCACCTGGCACAGCAGGTGTTCAGAACCGTGGCCTGCTTTAACGTTGCTCACCTCTACCGAGGAAACTAGGGGCAAAGGGTCGGAGCAGTGAGCGGTTGAATCTGTTCTTGAAAGAGTTACGTATTATGCTGAATCGTTTCCTTTCCTCATGTTAGTTGCCCAACTATAAAATTTGCGTAAACAGTGTCTGATCCAATCTATAGAGAACCATGCTACGACGAGGAAAAATAATAACTTCCGTTCAGAGTGACGACGGCATGAACAAGCCTTTTTCACATGGCAAGCAAAACGTTATGAATTATGTAATTTTACTGATCCCCATCAAATATTAGCAGGTATTGCTTATCTCTGGGTTTGAATCACCATTCTGTGTTCGAACCGTAGACAGGATGTCAGGGCAAAACCTAACCTTCTCCGTGATTTTTTTTGGGATTGTTCCATGAACAAGTCATCAATCGCTCCTTTCGTGGTTATAGACCGAGTGGCCATGGTGCCATCCACTTCTTGAGGACTATCTCCATGCGTTGAATAGCTTAGCTCCTTTACCGTGCTAGCTAACCGAGAGCCAATGAATTGAACAGGAAAATTTCTGAGTGCAATAAAGCATATTCAAAATTTTCATGAAGCAACGCAGGAGCAGTAGAAGCATATGTAGATTATTATAGCAAATGGTAAACAGTGCGTTCGGACGAAAATTGTCGACGTAACGCAGATAACCGGACAGAGGAACCGGTCAAATTCGCTTTAATGAAGGGCAGTTGCAAAAACGATTATCTCGTCATAAATCATGTCCGGCAAAAACTGGCTTGTTCATTAGATCCTTAGTCATCCACCAATAAAACAAGGATTATTGGAATTATATGTCATCAAGATAACACAAACTTAAATGATGATACGATTATTTGTAATGGTTCTTTTTTAAGGGGCTAAAACTTTTTTAAATGACAAATGATCTGTCTCGAAAGTTGACTATCCTCTAATCAACTGGAACATAGCTATTGTCGAGGATCTGATTTCATTACCTGATGTTCAGTCGTTCGTTTCAGAAGCCCTTTGATTTAAGCCCGGTCACCACACTGCACCACTACCTTCATCTTCCTTTTCCTAGCATGTTTCCTTTAACAGGCGTCGGTTACTTGAATCAACCTCTTCCATATTCTTCTGTCGTTGGTTAGATCATCAGGCACTTCTCGCAGTTTCACATCGCACCATCTTTTCTTCTGTCTTTTCTCCTCTTGTCTTCTCTGACAGTATCGATGCTTCGGTTACATTTCAAGCGTACTCAGAGACTGTCGATCCGCTTTTCACGTGCTGTCGATCCGCTTTTCTGAACTTGGTGCCACTTCTTGAATGCCTCTTATGGAGCTGTTTGGGATTTGTTCCTATCTTCTGACATCCATCTGAGCATTCGCATATCTACCGAGTTCAGCTGATGCTCATGTCTCTTCAGTGTAGCGAAACATTCCATTTCGAACAGAGGCGCCGGCCTTACCGCCGCTCTGTACACCTTCCCTCTGTCTGATGGACATCATCTTTTCGCACAGTACTCCGCCCCCTTCTCTCCATTTGATCCAAGCCTTGTTCGACCAATTTCTTACCTCGCAGTCGATTTCCGCACTATCTTCCATGATGGAACCAAGACAGCTAAATTCTTGGGTTTGAGGCAGCAAGCTCCCTGCTACTTTCACTGGTCTGATTGATGTCAATCTGCTTTCTCTCACTGAAATAGAGAAAGCCTGCAATACACTCTGACTTGTCTTTGCTGAGTTGACGGCCGTTCTTCTCAAGAGCTGTCTTCCATGCCTCAGCTTTTACTTCTATAGATTCCCTGCTTTTACTATTTAACATATCATGCTGATGTCCGTTATGGCCTCTGTCGTAATCCCTCTGATGATTCCGACGTGCTCGTTGAGGTTACCCCTGATTGCCACCTGTTCGTTTTGCAATATGTGGAACTTCAGCTTCATTCTGGCCAGTGTGAGAGGTTTAGGCGCTCATTATATTTAATACATCACTTTTCAAAGTCACCTTAACGTCCATATTTCTGTCGTTATTTCGGTTGACTTCAAATACCGTATTTTTGGTCGTTTCAATCAATACCACTCTAGTTCCTCCATTTCTTGTGTTTTATGTTCCACAGAAAATAAGTTTATAGCCTATCCCAATCTTTTTCGATTTCTCACCTTTCCATTTCTTCCCCTGAATACAAGCGATCTGAAGTTTTCCTCTGAGGAGCTTCCGCGAGCTCAATGCCCTTTCCCATGATTGTTCCAATTTTCCGAGTGCCTATTCGCATTTTCTCACTTCTTTTCGGCATGTCAGTCAATCCCTTTGCGGTTGCCGTCCTCGCAAGAACTGGTACCCTTTGCTCTTTTCTCATATTCGCCGGGATTTGCTGCTGCGCATCGCCTGAGGGAAACACCGTAGCATTCTTTCTTGAGGTAAGTTGACTCGTCATATTCGGCTTTGGCATTGGTTTTAAGGCCGGCTGCCTGTCTGGCGCCTACCTGTCTTTCTGAGACGGGCAGGAAACCCTCTACGGCTCGAGGTTTAGAAGGATACTTATTTGATGGCGGCATGTACTCGCCATATCACCGCACTGTCATCGAGTCATGCAGTATTTTCTAGAGCCATCTTTGCCGAAATTGGCTCGCCGCACCCTCGTAGCACTATCGTGTTGTGGCGCGACTTCTTATTCGCCGGGTTCTCCGCTTATTTTGCAGCTAACCTTCATATCTGAGGGTTGTTTCACTACTCGCACCCTCTGGACGTGTTCGCCGGCAGCTTCCTTCCCTCGACAGTACTGTCGAACCGAGCTGCACCATTATACTTTGCATCATATCCAAAATCTGCAGGGCATTTCATACTTCGTTTAAACTGATGCTCCTTTACGGCATCATTCAGTTATAATTCCCATAAAAATTAGAGGTGTCCATTTTTGCTTCATGATGTCTAAATCAGTTCGCTTTAAGAAAAGGTACATGGCCTTACCCC